CTGAACAAGGAACCGTAGAAGAAGTGGATAGTGACACTGAGGACAAAAAGAGAGTTATGATGTGAAGGAGAATAAGCTCTCCATTGACGAAGAGAGATGTTTGTGGTTCAATGGATTATTCACATTGATGCCAAGGAAGCAATAGTGGCTCTTCCACAATATCTTTTGTACTCATTGCACCGTGAAGGGAATAAGCGCGCAATCTTATTATTAATAAAGGTAGTTGTGAGAATATGATGTCAACACAAATGATAGACAAACTGAGACTTACCATATAGAAGGAAGAGCAACCATACTCCCTATCTTGGTTGAAAAAGGAAAGAATTTACAATTGATAGGATGTGTCCGGTGCAGTTCTCTATTAGAGACAGATTTCAAGAGTATCTGTGGTGTAACGTTGTGCTTATGAATGCTTGTCATATTCTATCAGTCTACCACTAATAACATGAGAAGTGCACACATCATAATGGCTATAAGAACACATACTCATTCACCTATAATAGGAAGCACATTATAATTTTACATTCAAAAGAGCTCGAGGTGACAAGCACTCATAGAAAGTTTGAGATTATAATATCTCATGTTATCTTTTTACAGACTATAAGGGAGGCACTAATGTCCAGCAGGACTAGTATTGATAGTCCTAGAAGGTAATGAATCTAAGGAGATGATCCTAATATAGTAAGACTCTTGCTAAAGGAGTTACATAATATCAAGAGGGAGAGTCCACCTCCTATGTTGCCATCACAAAGAGAGATTTATCATGTCATAGACTTTATTCAAGAACAATTCTTCTCAATAGGCATGCTTACTACATGCGATTATTAGAGAAAAAGGGGCTGCAGAAAAAGTTTACAGACCTAATGTCTAGAGACTTAGTTTGTGAGAGCACTAGCCCATGTGCAATTTTAGCTTTAATTGCATTAAGGAATGACGACTTTTGGCATATGTGTATTCAAATCAGGACTGCGAATAAAATCACCATCAAGTGTCACTATTTATACCGATCAAGAGGCCTTGAGGTTCCTAAGCAGTCATAGCAAATTTAAAGGTAGACATGCATCTTGAGTGAAGCTTCTTTCATTCCATGTTACTCTTAAGCACAACAATAGGAGTCAAAATAAGATGTATAATGCTCTAAGTCGCCATCATCTATTAACATTACCATGCAGTCAAAAGTAATTAGTTTGACGTGCTAAAAAGAAGCACATGACACAAATGAGGTTTTTTTGGTGATTTGGTTCATTGCCAAGATTAACTAAGATATTCCACATATCTGATGGCTACTTGTTTATTCAGAATAAATTATGCATTTATAGGAGCTCATTCAAGGAGGCAATCCAACAAGAATGTCATAAATATGAAAAGATAGGGTATTTTGGCACCAACAATAATCTTACTTTATTGAAAAATAACTAATTTTGGCCTAGATTAACATGGGATGTGGAAAAGCACATTAAGCAGTAAAAAGTCTCACTCAGCCGACCCAAGGGTATAACACGGGTCTTTATCCTCCGATTTCTATTCCAGAGTCACATTGAGTGGATGTGAGTATGTATTTCGTTGTAGGCCTTCCACAGACCCGATGAAGTATGGATTTTATTATGGTGGTATGGTTGCCTCTCCAAGATAGGAAATTTTGTGTCCTAACATAAGATGATAAATGTCTCATACATTGCTGACCTATGTTTAGGAGATAGTCATCTTTATGGTGTGCACATAACCATCACTTTAGATAAGGATGCGAGATTTTTAAGTCATTTTTAAGGGCTTTATGAGGTAAGCTAGGAAAAAATTCAATTCGGCTCAACATCTCATTCCAAGACTAATGGAAAAATAGGCGACGAATCATAGTTTTAAGTATCTTCAGATGATACTCCCATAGGTGACGAATCATAGTTTTGTGGTCAAGAACATTGAATAATGAGGATGATACTCCCATAGGTTGATTTTACTTATAAATGTTCCAACAACCAGTCTATAATTCAAAGCCCCTTGAAAATAGTTTATGGAATGAATCCTCTCATCCCACTGAAATGATCCTTGCACACCAGTTCATTGAGCTTAGCATTGTTGCAGCGGTCATAGTGAAAGAGATTAAGATATTAGAAGCAGCCACACAAGTTCAAGAGAGTTTGAGATTTTAAAGAAGTTCATTAGATTTGGATTAGTTTGAAAAAGAAGTGATTCACTATAAATTTTTTGTGAGAAGCTCAAGTTTAGAACTAGCATACCATTCAGGTTTGTCAATAGATTTAATATGTCAAAAGATTACAAAATTTCTATTACCTTCAAAGTCATTGACTCGGCACAATATGTGAGACAAATGCTTTGAAGCCTCTTTTGCTAAGGGAGAATGATGCAAGCATGCCATTTGCCCCAGACGAAACTAGGAGATTGAATCATTCCCCATACGGAGTCCCCGTTTGAGAATTTCCTGCCCATAGGGGTAGGCTGAGCCATTTGGGTCTATATTTCATTTGTGTAGAATTAAGGTTTTGTATGTTCAATTTATATGATTTGTTATTGGAGGCTTTCTCCTCTTATTTTTCCCATGTATCCTATTTCAAAAAACAAAGCATTCAGGGTTGTCAATATGATCAATGATAATGCCTATAAAATTGGCCTCCCAGAATATTATTATATTCATACTGTCTTTAATGTTGCTGACTTGATATCATATGATGACTGAAAAGCTTTGAAACCTCCCTTACTTCGAGAGAAAGAAGAGGGGGTGACTTCTATCTCAAGCATAATTAGGAGTAGGACTCCCCACACAGAATCACAGTTTACTTCATTTGATTAGAATTAAGGGTTTTTTTGGTTGGATTTATATGGCTTATTTTATATTATGGAAGACTTTCTACTAGATCGGTGTCACACACACACATATAGACGCGGGGTGACAACGAAGGTTTCCCGCACAAGGCACTGCATGAGCGTGAGTCTGCAGATGCTGCTACAATGCCAGACACGCGCGACTACCACGACTGCTTGGAGTAGTTCATTTACGCAGCTTTGAGGGTCAGTCGACCATTTTGTCCATGGGATTGCGGCCCAATTGGAGTGGGGTCCACTCCTAGGTATCCTAGGGTTATATATTTGTGTTCCTAAAGTTTTAGGTTAACTTTTGGCGCGAGTTTGTTTAGGATAGCCCTCGGTGTCCTTTTCTTCTTTCGAAGGATTGGGCGGTGCTACAATTGCATCTCTCCCGAGACGGTGATTATTTGCCCTACCTCGTTTCACATTTTCCCATATTGTTCCCGGTTTCCCTCCATTACTGTAGTTGCCCCTGAACAACCGTCGTTGTTGTTTTCACTGCAATTATTCCAATTCCAGTCACCTGAACCGCATCTTGCAGCCAAGATGTTGTTCCAACACATCTCTTATGCTGTCATTGTTGTTCCAGTCGACCAAAACCCTTCCCCGTGCCACCTTGCTACTGTCTTAACCACTGGAACCACCTCCCGCAACCTAGCTGCAGTTCCCGCAGCCCAAAACTATCCCTAATCGTTGTTTCTTCACTGTCCGGTCCGCCTACCCCCTCGCTACCACCTCTCCAAGCCCCCTAACGGCCACCACCACTACTCGAGATCCACCCTGATTGTGTGTCATAAGTTGTATGGTCGTTATTTCCTATTTTAGAGTGTCACGTGTCATGTTTCCTGATTCCGTGCGTTGTAACTGCCTATTGGCTTTGTTAGTAATAATATTTGCTTATCTTATTATTGTTTGGGTTAACTCCATGACGCGGGAGCTTACCGCATGAGGTACTGACAGTACTGCGAACGCGGTTACTATAGCTGCTACAGTAACCGCGGCCCCCCTTTCATATTTAATCTCTTTCCTTCCCTTTCCTTTCCTGATGATTTCTCATTATAATTCATTTTCTTCTCTATTTCTTCCCTATTCCTCTCCTTATCTATTATATCTCATTTGTATCCTATTCTTTACTTATTTTATCTACTAATCCCCTCTTTATATAGGTGCTATTTTCTGAGCTTAGAGAGGAGTTTTATGAGTGCAGATTTCTGAGTGCTGCCTAGAGGCATTCTCCCCCTCCAGGGGCTGTACCCGACGACAAGAAGGTGCTCCGGCCGTAACTTGTCTAAGGTGGTGATCGTCTCCAAGGGATCGGCTGGTGCTCCGGTTGTAGCTTCACCCGAACAAGACATTATCCTTCCACAGCCCCCTCCGCCCCACTTCCAGCAGCCGCAAACCACTCAAACTAACGGACATCTTCATTCCCTAGTGTTGTTCGACGTTTCCTGCAGCTATCCTACTGCTGCTAGCCGAAACAACATCCTCTTTGCCGCTGTTCGACGCTTCCAGCAGTTGTTTGGGAAAAAAGTCCTGGTTCAACTTGCACAGAATATAGGGAATAGGGATGAGTGTCAATGCTACAACGTGAAAATGTAGCGATAATATTTTATATAACTACAGATTCTATCATGCAGTATCATTACTAGGTAAATAAACACTCAAAGGGAGACATTCCTATGACTTTCTATACGGCAATCTTTAGCCACCATACCGGCCAGATTAGCAAGAAAAAAAATGTTATTGTACAATGAAGCCTCACAATAGTTGATGAGTCTGCTAATTTTATTAGAAATTGATAAATCTACTTGATCAGAATATAATTCATTAAAACACATCTATTTTGACGGTGCCCATAACTTATATTACAAATGAACTCATACTTTCAATTATTTCAAAATGATTAGGCCCAAAAAGACGACGGCGCCTCACGTGCTAGCAACTTTCAAAGCTAAAAAATATGATCAAATATGACATTTCAAAATAAAATTTTAAAATAATCATATCGTTATTACTACTTAAGACATTAAGACGAAAAACAATTCAGCTCCTTTCAATAATGAAATTCAGCTGCACTTTACAATGACATAATGATCTAACAATGAGGCAATGTGTAAAATGAAGAAGCCTTAAAGATAGATACTGATCCGTTTTAAAATTGATATAAAGTTTGGAAAAACCTTCTCCATAACGGTAGTTAATAGCTCCACGCCTATAGACTGCATCCACACAAACGGGCCAGTGCTTATCTAAACGTAAACAAGCACGGCATATCATCAAAACAACTTTCTAGAATATTTGCAAAAGGATTACTAGAGAAAACCATATGGAGATCAGTAAACCTGATAAGAAAGAGAGATGAGTTCTTGCAGGTGCAGTACTAGCCAATCATTGGAACTACTGCCACTGTGACGCTGATTCCTTGCTAAGAAGAGATCAAAATGTGCAGGATTTGCTCCAACAGCTTCTGGTAGATGGCTCAAACACCTAGGCAACAAGGTAACAAGGATTTGTCAGCATAATAAGTGTCCGGGTACTTCAAAAAACTCTGATGAGATAGAAAAAATTGAACTCCACAAAGACTACCTACTTAATACATTAATAGGGCAATGCCAAAGACACTCAGAAATAACACTCATGCTTAAGAGAAAATAAAAGCAAGCCTCCCAGGCTAAAGCAACAGCCAAAATATGCAACACATTGAAAAGAAAAAAAAAATTGCAATAAATATGAACAAAACATACTCTGCAGCAAATAGCCTTGTTCGATATCTCAGATGTTTATCCCTTTTATTAATCGAATTCTGGATTGACTCCCCAGAAGAGCTTGCAATCATGTCTTCATTAACATCTCCAAAATGCATCTTTATCTCACCTTCAGATGCGCCATTCATGAGTTCTTTCTCATTATTTGCACCATTTTCAGCATTATTCTTTGTTGATACTGAAAGAACCTAAATAGTTGATATCACTAAAATCAACACATAGGTGAACATATGAAAAAAAACAATTGTGTCAACTAACATACACCAGATGAAAAATATCTATAACAGGTTAGATAGTTCTATTATGCTGAACATATGCAGATTACTCTGCATAAATATTTCTCTATAAGAAACTAACAAAAGCAGCCTGCATCAACATTCAATTGCTTCCGGAAGAGAAAATTAGGTACCAAACACAACACAAATTTGAATTATTTACATAAGAATACCATAAAATTAATTAGGTGTTTGATAGTATAACCATGTATCGATCACCATCATGGGTTAAAATTGGGCAACATAAAACCTGCCTCAGTTTTTTTCCTGAAAAAATTGCAATGAGGCTTGCACCACCTTGCATATCACATAAGGCTTATGCCTAACAAAATACGAGTACCGCCTAAATGTTCACCTTACCTCAGTTCTGATGAGCCATGCCAAAATAGATTTAAGATTTTTCTTAAAATAAATACAAGTGAAATAATAATTATAAACATTTATTGCTTACACATATAATTTACAATTGAGAATATAAGTAAATAATTAATACTAACATAATTATTAATTTAAAATCTAATAAACATCAATATAATTACATAAGAGAGATGATTGAGATTTAAGATGAATAGGTGGAATGAGAGAACATGGATATAATTGAGGTTAAAATGAAAGAACAAGCAAATCAATATGTTGATGAATCCAATTAAGGCTCATTAAGTGATTAAAGTGATGAAATTTTCGAATTTAGATCCTAAATTTCGTGGCTTGTGATGTTATTTTGATGGAGGAGAGTATGAGTGGTAGAGAGACTTTGTACAAAATTTATTTTAAATTGTTATGCTACTATGTCTTCTTTTGATAATTGTAAAATCATTCTTATTTTATGGTTTAAAATTTGAATGTTAACTTAGTACAATATTTTTTTTTCATGTAATTTGTTAATCTTGAGTCTCATGCCTCAAATCGCCTTATGAGTGGGACGCAGGAGCATCTCCCGCTTTTGATGCGGGACGCACAAGCAAGGGCTTCCCATGATTCCGACACCTAGATAGACCGATCCAGGTAGGGGGAGAGCCAATCGAATACCCCTAGGTTTGGCACCTCCTTTTAACAAGGGGTCCAACTTTAATTAGCTAGCGCATAAATATTTGCTTCATAAGCTTTAGATTTTCAGTAATTTTTTTTTTGTATCGAGACAACAATCGACATCCCTTTGTTCCTTTGAGGGATGTATTCAAGGTTCGGGTGGTGCTTCGGTTGTATCTCGCTCCCAAGGTGGTGATTATCTTCCCTATTCCCCTTCAACATCCTCCCCACATTGCATGCAACAGCCCTTTCTCTAATGCAGCCACCCAAACAGCCACAAACCGTTGTTTCTACCCGTAGTGCCCCACTTTTCCTTGCCATCGCCGTCCCGAACAACCGTCCTTTCATTGTCATGAAGTCTGCCATCATCCTCCATGTTGTAGCTTCCCCAAACAGCCTTATGAGTGGGACACAGGAGCATCTCCCCCTTTTGATGTGGTACGCAAGAGAGAGGACTTCCCACGATTCTTGCGCTTTGACAAACTGATCCAGGCAAGGGGAGAGCCAATCAACTACTCCTAGGTTTGGCACCTCCTTTTAACAATGGGTCCAATTATAATTTTCTAGGGCATAAACAATTGCTTCTTATGCTTTTTAAGTTTTCAATATTTTGTTTTTTTTTGTATCGGAACAACAGTCGGTCTATATTTTTCCTTTTGAGAGATGTATTCTCGCTCCTGAGGTTGTGATTATCTTCCCTATTGCCCTTCAACATCCTCCTCACATTGCTTGCGACCGCCCTTTCTTTGATGTACCCACCCAAATAGCCACAAAGTGCTGCTTTTCCCCACAATGTCCCACTTTTCCTTGCCACTGTTGTCCCAAACAACCATCCTGCCACTGGCATGCAATCTGCCATAATCCTCTGTGTTGTAGTCGCCCCAAAAAACCTTTTGGTTGTTGTTCTCTGCAATTACGGTTGTTTCCATCACCTCCCCATCGCTACTCTTTGATGCCATCATAAATCCAACCGTCCATCCTCATTGTCGCCACTGTTTCAATCCCCGCCTCCACATAAAAATCCTTCCCTTTGGTAATGTTTCAAACCCGCCTTACATAATCTCTATACATTTTCTTCCACCAACCCAAACCCAAACCCCAACCATGCTACCGAAGTGATAATTGTCAGAGATCTGATTGGGAGGAAACGCCATGATGTCATTCAGGAGAAATCTGCAAAGAGACATCTAAGAACTTTCTAGGGAAGCCCTCCAGCTACAACAGAAGCTTGCCACCTTCTAAGAGAGACAATCCGAGCGAGTCATCCGTAGCCACAACATTTACTTGCTAGACTGAAAGAGTGGAGTGAATTTCTTCCATAATGCTGATTGCAGAGATGAAGAACCTCTGCTGCGAAGGTTTGACATGAAGTATCAGAGAAACTGAGATTTGGACGTAGAGCTGGATTTGTCATATTTTGAAGGCCGCTAGGATCCAAACGAGTTCATCGAGTGGCTCCACATGATTGAACTTTTCTTTTCGTACCAGAACATCCCACTGGGAAGAAGGGTAAAACTAGCACCAACAAGCTAAAAAGGAATGCATTATTTTCTAAGAAAAAATTAAAGCACCTACACTAGCATGAGCGAACAGACAAAATCACCATTCTGTCCAAGATGAAACAGAAGATACAACACCATTACCTATTAGTTCATTACCAACTGAATGCTCAAACCCTAACTTCAAAAGTGAAGAAGTAACATCATCGGACAACCCCGTGATGCTCCAAATTTAAGTTTATTTTGAAACTTGAACAAAATTTTATTTTTTCATTTCTCGTAAATATATAAGGGCGACCCATGTTTGTGCCAAGATAGCCCTTCATTGGCTCATTTCTTTTGATACATGTAGATGATGATAGAAAGCTTTCCTCTATACTTGTACATGACAAGTCTCATTTTTGTACATGATAGAAGAACACACGCATAGTTTTGTTACATTTATTAAATTTTATTGCAAAATGCAATTGTTCAATCCTAGGATCAAGTAGCAAGAGTGGGCTGAAAAGAACACTCAAACCTTGCTTGAGGAGAGATTGATTCACAAAGGAGAATAGATGAAACCAATTAGCGCTCCGAAATTGATCCCAGCAAAAAAGGGCCACAGTTTTGGACGAACAAGATTATAATCTATTTTACAGAGCAAAGAGATGTTAAGGAATTGTGTAATGATATAGTGGATACTAAATAAGGTAAAGACACAAAGGTGTACCAGATTTCAACTAATGAGAAAGAAAAACACTTAGTTCAAGCTGAGCTCATGAGATAGGTAGTAACAAAAATAGCATTGGTGGTCCCAGACAGCCCAAAGTCAGAGGAGTTGATAACAAACACATGGCAAACCCAAATAAAAAAATTTAAAAATTTCAAATATATGGTCAACTGTCTGAATTGCCCCTACCAAGGGAAGTCCGATATGTTAGTGATGAGACTATTTTGTGCCACTTTTGTAAGATTTTAGGAAGTCATTTGGGCAGTAAGTTCAATTCAACAGTATATACACAGACAGATAATCAGATAGGATGGATGAACCATAGTCTTGAAAATTGCATTAAATTTTTTTAGGAAAAGAACATCTTATACTGGGATTTAGGTCCTACTAGAGAAGAAGATGCCTCTTCTGAACGATTGCTATTGAGAATTGTCCTGTCTGCCATAGATTTCGTCCCAGAGTTGATTCCTCCTTATATACTTGTTTACCATATACATGCAGACAAGTAAGAGAAGTGGAAGAAGCCAATTATAGATTTGGTAGTCCGAGACTTGGTTCGTGAGAATAACCATCAACATCCAATTCCAGTCCTGATTGTGTTAAAAGGACAAATATTTATTATATCATGATGTGCTTTAAAATAACAACACATCCATAATTAACTTATAGAGAGATTGCTATATCTAACACTTTCAATTGGTTCATGAGAATAACCATCAACATCCAATTCTAGTTCTGATTATGGGGGATACAAAGAAAATAAATCAGAAATCCAAGTTCACTTCTCAAAATGAAGAGGGTTCAACTCAGTCTAAATTAGTAGGTTAAATTTTTTCTTAACTCTCTTGAAAACGCATATGGGTCATGCTCACTAACTGAAAATTATAAGGTTCCAGATTCTCAAATACTAGTCCGTCCAATAGATCTTCTAGTACTTGGGTAATAAACTTGTCTGTTGTAGCCACATGATAAAATGTACTAACATCTTTCTAACCCATCAACACCCAATAATATGAAAATCAAGGTAACTGAAGACCACTTCACCACTATTGTAGGCCAAGAGAATAGTAATATCTCATTAATTTACCCCTAAAAATGTATTGCATATTTCTAACATTGTTGTAAGTTTATCTATTCATAAATTAGCTAAAGATAAAAAACATTGTGTGATACTCTTTGCTAATAATTCTATTTTTCAGAATTTAACTATGGGGAAGACTATTATTGATAGCGGAGTTAACTCAAATAACAATACAAATGAAATATTATTGCTGAAATTCAAAAGTTACAATGAAAACTCCACAAAATAAAAATAAAACATCATAAAACACACAAAAGGCCCTCTAGGGTGAGTCGGTAGGGGTAGAAACCGTTGGTCAGTTGTCGTGTTGATTGCTTGGGGTGATGCGGCAACTGCTGAAGGGTTGAAGAGGGGTGTCACAGTAGTTGGAAGCGTTGGAAGCGTTGGAAGGGGCTATGACAGAGCCTGGAAAGGGTTGGGAAAGGTTGCAGCAAGTCTGCAATAGGACTGTAGGGAAGCTGGAGGCAACGATGGCCTATTTGAAAGGGCTGGAGGGAAGTGCAACAGACCTAGAAGGAGCTGGAGGTAATTGTAGCCTGTATGGAAGGAGTTGGAGGGAAGGTGGCTAAAAGAAGGGGAGCTGCGGGTGGAC